AAAGTAATAAGTCGACTGAACTAGCAAAGCAGTATCCCGGTATATGCGCGCATGTAAGAGAGAACATCTCAGTGATTTTTTTTTCAGTCTGTAAAGGAAGACTTAAAAGCATATAAGACAACAATCCATCGTCCTTATACCTGGACATGTACTTAACTGTGGGGCACAGATGGTGGAATATATGCGGGGGAAATTTAAACTTTAACATAAAATCCGAAGGGACATTTTTCCATTTTATGTTTTAAAATAATTGTGATCCATTCAAATAAAAGCTCTTATGTGTAGAAGAGTATATCCTTAAAAAAGACAAAATGTACAACTTAATTCATGAAAAGTACATGTACAGTTATATTTACATTTCCAATGTCTTTGTCAGAGATAAAATTTCAAATGGTAAAAATACTTTATTTTTACATAAATCTACTGGTTCATCGATAGACGTGATGAAAAAAAAAATCACGTGCGGGGCGGGACAAATAGAGACAGAAGCCGGACCTGTAGCACGTGAATTTGCAGAATCAAGAGCATGTAAATATAAGGAATAACTGTCAATTTTTTTGGTTTCATGACGATGATCAATCGATTGGCTTGCGTGATAATTTTATGCATAAACGCCTTTGGCGTTTATGCAAATTATCACGTAAGCCAATCGATTGATCACATCATGAGACCAAAAAATTAGACAGTTATTCCTTAAATCAATTAATAAGGAGAGAATTTAATTTTGTCCACGAAGCAATGTGTTTAACCATAAATAACAATACTACAGCAATGACTCTGCTAGAATCGAATACAATTTCGCCGGATACAAATTTACCAAATTCAGCCCAATTTGGACTAAGACCTCTTCACTGATTTGTATTTTTTATAGGTTTTTTTGAGATCGATCAATGTTCGTTAACTTCACCTTTATCCATTTTGTATGGAAGAACGTCAAGGTTTGAACTATGAAAAAATGTACGTCAATTATGTATCAAAATATTAAATTCTATGCAAGCAGTACAGCTTCAGGATTCTAATAAGCTCAATATATTCTTAACCTTAATTACTTAGACAACAACTGTTGTTTTATTCCGTAATTTAACATTATTTCAATGCGTATTATGTCAACGCAGGAAGTATACCGAAAGACAGCTACATTTTACACAATTTTAGGGCACGCGAAAGTTCCTCCCTGCATTTTCATGCTAAGAAATTTTTCTTGAAAACACAATCAATTTTATTGCAATAAGATATCCGTATATCGTTGAACTTTTACTATCTTTATAACCGTAATTTTTTCTTCTAATTTTAAACTAAGTCTTGTCACATTGCAAACAGTTGATGTAAGTGACGTCGCGAATTCAGCAGAGAAGTAAATAGCGGAATTCCCATTCATCAAAACTTATAATGCTGTTTATATTTTAAGGCGAATGTGAAATTTTTGCGAATGAAAATATATTCTTAATCAGGATGGCGATTCTTTTCGGTACTTTATTGATATCCGACAAATGTAATTACGGTTAATAACTACATATTGAGGACGATAAGATTTTATATTTAGACTTGTCACGTGATGCGGCAGACACGTGATATAGCACATATACTTGCAGTATTGAGGTCACCTATAAATTTCACTAGTGCAAGGGCATAACCAAGTTAAAATTCTAAATTTAGAGTATAAATGTTTTCAACACGCATCGTAGTTTCTGAAAAGTGCTGCGATCCTCTATAGATTCTGCTATTTCATTGTTAAAATCAAATTTATATGACCACATTCTGCATTTTTTGCTGGTCAACGGCATTAAATATAGATATAATTAATTCATTTTCAAGATTTCACCAGGATCGCAGCACTTTTCAGATACCTTAATACTTCTAGAGTTTAAATGTAAAAGCTAACTGTGATCCATTGAGTGTATGCCCTTGCACTAGATCGATTTATTAAGACCCTTGCATTGCCCTCCGATGTACTTGCATACAAATATACGGCAGCGTCAATTAAATAGTAGATATACGGAATATATACGAATAAAATCATAAAAAAGACATTGCATCCAATGTTAATTGCCTCTTAAATATCTTTAAATAATATTTTATTTAATTATAGAATGCATTTTTTGTAGTGAAAATATTTCTTGATCCGCCACTTACTGCATACAAACTGCGTCAGGTTTTACGAAATGACGTCACATCGACAAGTGCATCGTGATCAGTGACTTGTTTATACCTTGCTATGTGGAATTTAACTTAAGACAAAACAGCATGTTATAGTAAGTTTAGATGTAGTTTGATGGTTTCCTATAGTTTAAAATAGCAAATTATTTCATTTTGTAGGGTTTTTAAGAATTGTTGGTTTTGTATGATGTCATAGTTAACATTTCCCGTACAAAATAGGCCCCGCCCCCTTTTTGTAGCCTTAACTGTGCTGCGTACTGACAAGTTGTGGATCCTAGCTTTTCGTGCAAATTGCACTTTGAGTTATTTCTTGTCTCTAAATTTTATTATATATATTATGAGCTTTCATGTTATATTGTGATAAACATAGGAAATATTCCTCACTTTCAGCCTAAAATTTACACTTTCTCTTGTAATATCTGAAAGTTGACATCATAGGACATCGATTTTTACATTCTTTTCGGAACTTATGAGATAACCCTGTCAGCTGTAAATAAAAGGAAGTGAATTACATTCATTATTCTCTTATGAATGTGATATTTTTCCACGCTGTTGTTTCGTTAAGATATAGATCAAAATTTTGGAACACTGTTTTGTGACGAAATATAGACTCTTTATATAAGAAATATGCAAGAAGAAAAAGGTTACAAAATTTAAAGTTAACACACATGATTATGTATATGTATAGCGTTGAAATTGTAGAAATCATGAAGTTTTGTGACAGCATGAACATTAATGGGTTTCATTTAATAAGAGTGCATGTATATTCATCTGTCAGGAAGAAATTTGACCCTAGTACATGTAAGCGCTGTACTGTACATGTCTCTTGTTCAATTTATAAGGTTGCTTCTGAGGAACGCCTATTCCTAGTCTAGTCTACAAACGTGTTAGTGGTAATATGATTAAAAATAACTTATGTTGGTAAGAATTTTGTTAAAATAATTATGCTGTATATTTCTTTCTTTGAACTCAATTGTAAGTTTTATGTATAAATGTATAACTTTGTAATCTTTGTTTTCCTTTCTACTTCCATTAACAGGGAGTAGCATTACATAATTCCGCATATTTGGAGGAAACTTGTGCAAATGAAACTGTTCCTGTTGGCGCCAATAAGAATGCTATAAGTACATATACTTAATTTTTATAATATTCGGTATAGCTTATCATTCAAGATTCTGGACAATTTTTTTTTTGGATCATAAAGAAAATTGATGTTTCAATCCTTCTGAGAGCATATTTCTGTCCCTCATCCGTAACAATTATCTTCATAGTTACATATTGTTACAGGCAACTTAACTTAAAGTCTGATGACAATTAAGATAGTCATATTAATATGCATTATTCATTAAAATGAATCCTTATAGACAGTGAATTTATATAAAATTGTAAGAGTGAAAATATATTTACCGCCCATTCCACCCAGCGGAAATTCCTTTATCCCCTCCCATCTTGAAGCTAATAAGTCAAAGGATCGGTTATTATAATGCATCACAGACTTGTCCGTATAATTATAGATCTATCACCTTTTTTATTACGATAATCATCCTCGTGAAATATGTATGAGTCAATAGTGCCACCATTAAAGCATCTTCTGCAACCATAAAGAAGTTTAAGGCTTAAATCAATTCTAATGGTTGATGTGAATTTAATTTCCTTTACAAAACTTGAAATATTTCAAAAGATTTATCACAATTTATTGCATGAACGTGATCAAAGATAATTTTCCTATTCATAATGAATGACAGTCACTGTAAGTAGTAAACAGAATTACCAAAGCTTAAATTGAATTTAAAGAACTGAAAGATTTCAAAGAAATATTTTTAAGGATTATTGAATTTAGATAATCGAATAAGTATTCTTAGTTAGATAAGAGGCTTAATATCCCTTACTCTTATGATGCGCAGTGAAAATCGGAAGACAAATAGCCTAATATGCCATATATGAAACAATGAGAGACTTTCTTATCCTTAGCCTTTTGGAGCCAATCTGATTTATTCAGAAGTTTATTTCATCTATGTAATTCCATCGTACATCAAAGGAATTTTAGTCACTTATTGTGAAATTTTAGTTAATATTTGAAGAGAGAATCAAATATGAGTGTGATAATAGGAGGTTACCAGATGCTTAGCGTTACAAATGCTGGTTTAGTCCTAGGAATGTTTCATTTGCTTGGAATGATCAACGGTTACAAATATTGTTATAAAGATGTTGATTTCAGTTCTATTCCTGGAGAAAGATATCTTTCTGTATTTGCAGTAGTGTCTAATGTTGGAATTCAGAGATGTGTACGGGAATGCATTTCTCGGAAACCAAACTGTATGGGTGTGAATTTCTTACGGAAACAATTGCAGTGTGAAATGAGCTCAATTGTTAGTTATTCTGAGTTGTCAGTTGAATACATAAGAATCGATTTAGAAGAAGTAAGTGTTTAAAATCTATCAAGATCACTGTAAGTTATTTATTCCATTTGAAAGCAGGCAGCAGATTTTGCTGTGAATTTATTTTTTGATCGCATTTCAAAAAAAAAAAAAAAAAAAAAAAAAAAAGATTTCATATGTATAATTCACTTGATAGTAATTTAATTTTTTTTTTATTTTTCATATTTTTAGAAATTTATTTATTTCTGGAATATTGTGAAATATAATGATATGAGAAGTGTACAGGTAAGTATTTTGAAGTAAAATCCGCTATTTTGAAGCTGGTTAATTTTACCAATATAAAAACTTTGCTATCAACCTTTATAGTTGAACAATTAGTATTACAAATACATGTACAGCTGTATACAGGTAATGATGAACGAAGACTATTGATGAGATTTGACTACAATTGTTTACAGATAGAGGAGAATGCTGGGTGTATTAGCTGCCCAGAAGGACAGAAATGCGTCCATTTGTCCAGTAATGCCCCACTCTGTCTTGACGGTAATACGATTTAGCGTTTCTTTAATATTCTCCTTGATATTATTCAAACGATAAAGTGCTGTCTTTGTTAATGAGGGTATAACTGTTGCGATATTGCAAAAAAATTTAAACATAATTAACGCTTAAACGAGCTACGTATTTTTTGCACTGATTATCCCCGCATTAAAAAAAGGGTGCATTTTATTGTTATGTTTATAAAGTATTTTTAGTGGGTAAAACTACCTAAATGTTATATTATTGATCTTGTACATTACATTGTTGAAAAATCTTACAGCTTAAGAATTATTTCAATCAGATGGCTTTATAAAAGCGGTCCCCAACTTATGTAATGTTACATGTAATAGATTGATAATGGCAATCGGTTTTCATAAGAAATAAAGGGGAAAACATTCAGCTGATGTAACTGTATATTGAAGAGCCCCTCACTGCAAACTTAAGAAAATAGATAGCAATAAGAATTGATAAATGTAAATTGCTTTCCTTTGCGTCATGGAGTATAAATATTGACGTATCGCATATTTAATTCATCGGGATTGTTTAATGCTTTTAACTTAATAATAATAGAATTTAGGGTGTAATAAAAACTAAAAATTCAGAAATAATAAGCTTAGGAGGTTTTTCCAAGAATCTCTTTCTCTTGCTGTTGTCTTAGAATATTGACTTTTATCTTGTAAGTTATGAAATTAAAAAGGATAAAATGTTTTTGATAATAGGTTCCTTTTCTTTTCTTTATTATAGATGAGGATTATCTCACGGACTGTACCTCAATTCATCGTCAAAATTCCTTGCTGGGAAGTGGAGAATACACTATTAAACTTCCACATAAGGAAAAAATCCGTGTGTATTGTGAGATGGAGACAGACGGGGGAGGTTGGACGGTAGGGTTTATAACTATAATTTTGGTGTTGTTTTTGTTATTGTTGTTGTTGTTGTTGTTGTTGTGTGTGTGTGTGTGATGTTTTAGTCAACTTTAAAACAAACGCCAAATGCTGCCAAGCTGTTATGCAAAATTAGAATACTCAATCAATTAAGCTACAGGCTTCTGATAAGAGAAATAATTATCATTAAGGATAAATAAATATTATTCCTATATAAAATTGTTAAAAATTAAAAACTCTATTCTGCCGCGCGAGGTATATTAAATTGCATGCATTTTAATTATAAATTAGAATTCTTTGAAGCAGAAGTTGAAGAGGATGATAAACATTTGGATTACTTTTCATGTGTATAGGGGTATAATTAAATGAGTAACAAATACAAGACAGTATAATTAGTCTTATCTGATTCATAAACTTTAATGTACATATCTACTTTTATATGAGCATTGTTAAACTAAAATTACATATGCTAAATCAACTTATGTATTAAAAGGAAGTATATCAACTTTATTCCAATCATTTTCCTGTAATCTAGATCTTTCAAAGGCGGACTGATGGATCTGTCAACTTTACACGTAATTGGACAGAATATAGAAACGGGTTCGGTAACATTTCTTCGGAGTTCTGGATTGGTATGTAATTGAATTTTAACTTTCAAATCAAGCAATATTGGTATATATTTAATATTCATGATAATGTTTGACTTATTTGATCTTTAAGGAAACGTCAACTTGTTTAAAATTCTTCGATATGGACGTTACGAAATGAGAATGGACATGGGCGATTTCGAAGGAGAATCTAGATACATTAAATACAGTCATATAAGCCTTGGGGATGAGGACACAATGTTTACCATTCATCTGTCAGGATACTCCGGTAATATAAGTAAGTACAATGAAAAAATAAAAATAACGACCAGTAGCCAATCACAGAAATCTTGTGAACAATACGAATCGGGAATAAAAAAAACAACAAAAAAAACCTACTAAAAACAAACAAACACCCCCCCCCCCCCGAAAAAAAAAAAACAACAAAAAACAAAAACAACACAAAAAAAAAACAAAACAAAACAAAACAAAAAGAGGAATCCCTGGAATCACAAGAGATGAAATCACTGCCTCGTTTACAAAAGAATTTACGCTAAGACCAACATCTACTTTTGCAATCTATTTCATTTCTTTCTTTGCTTAAATTTTGATTTTCGCGTGAAAAAGAAAATTCAGTTTTCTAATTTTCTTTGAGTATAATCACTTAAAATTATTAAATTGCTGAGACTTCAGAAGAATTTTAACGTTTAAGTCTAAGTTCTTTCATAAAACTGGACACAGGTGCCTCGGAAGAGTAAGCGTATCCTGTCGACACGTCACTTCCGTCTTGGGTCCTTTTTGTATTGATCACAAAATATTTCATCGTTCATCGCAAAATTGCGAATGTGTAATTTTGTAATTAAGACGTATCAATTATATATCAAATATATTATATAACTGTTTTTTACTGCGTTCACAGGGGACTGTTTCACACAAAACAAAGGGATAAACGGCATGCAATTTTCGACCTTTGACCAGGATAATGATCTCCTATCCTCCCGCAGCTGTGCAATTAATTATCCGGCAGGATGGTGGTTCAATTCTTGTCACTGTGCAAATCCTAATGGATTGTACCTGAAAGGAGAAACTGACATCTGGGGAAAAGGAATTACGTATGCTTATTGGAGGGAAAATTATTATTCTCTGAAATATACGAGAATGATGGTGAGAAGAGTTCTGTAAATGAGATAGAAAAAGCTGAAATACAACAGATCAAGCGATTTCAAATTGAACACAAAAATCTGAATATTTTCTCACATTTTCCATCGAGTTGAAGCCATTTTTATTGAGTTTATTTTCTTTTGATTGCAATATTATTATTTTGTAAGCAATACAGCATTAAAAGAAAAACTTTTGATATGTATACTGTAAATCAACTTTTATTCGCGTGCGAGAAAATATTTGCGAGTTTCGCGCGACCTACTTTGACTCGCAAATATTTATCGCCGCGAACCATTTATTTTGCTTTGTTTTTATAGAAAATGTTTCCTCAGTCGCGAAAATTAATCGTTGCGGACCGGATTCACTTCAAACTGACGAATAGCAAATAAAAGATGACGCGAATGATAGTTGGTTTACAGTATGCTATTGTATGCTAAGGTTTTCCACAATGAACTAATATTTACGATTGTTTTTACCAACCTATACTGGTATTATAATATATCATCATTACCGAGAATAATATATGCATTTATTTCATTTTAGATTCTAAAATACGTGCTGATGATAAAAAAAAAATACTGCTCTTAGAATTGCTTTTCAGATGACAGTACTTTATGATTTTTCATATTTATTCCTGAGTATGTTTTTTTCCCTATATTTACACTGAATTCCATCCCGGTCCGAGGGCAAATTTGTAAATAATTGTGGGTAAAGAAACTAATTAATTCGTAGCCTTTCATGATTTTTAACCTTTTGAATGAAGAAAATTGTTAATCTTTGATGTTCATCACGAAGTGATACATTTATTTCAATGCGGTCACCTACAATGTAGCACAATTGGACTTAAAAAGTTTACAAAAGAATTCATAGGAATTATTTTTAAGATTCTTCTACCGAACATCAGTCCCATAGTAAATAGTATTCCTGTATAATGTAGAGCGAAATGTATTCAAATCTTGGCTGGGAGTTTGGATTGAAAAATACAGGAAAGAGCAAGAGCCACTTAGGGCCTTTTTTGGCCCTGTGAATTTCTGAAAATTCAAAACTGTCTAGTTTCAGTTAACAAGGCCATAAATAATAATTGAGCACTTGGTGAATGAATATCTACTGAAAATGACGTAATTTTCTTTCTAGTCAATGCATTATGACGTCATGAATAGCGTCATTATTCACATATCCTGAATATTTCTTCAAAAATTGCTAAAATATGATGCAATTTTTCAATATTTCGTATACAGCACAACCGCCGATCCAAAATGTGTAAATATATTATAAAAGAATTGTTAATGAAGATTATAAAACATATTTTAATTTTTGGATCGAGGGGTGTGCTCATATTTTTATTCTTTGCTGAAGGTTCTCAAAACACCTGTTTTCTGCAAAATTCAACAACATTGCAGTTTCACACAACCTGTTTTCAATGCCTGGACTCTTCAAAGGAAATTCTGTTGTATAAACTGAAAGCACTAAGCCTCTACCTTATAATATTGTTGAAAATGGTACACGGGATATTAGGATATTAGTCAATAAATTGGTATATCTACAGGGCCATTTTATGCATCAAGTGAACCTAGCTCTTTTCCCTTTAAGAACAGAAATACCAAATTCAATGGTCAATCAAATAAATCAGTAGTATCCCCTCTATTGTAGAATCGATCGAATATTTGTAATTCTATAGTCACTAAGCCTCAGGTAGGGAAAATTCAGGAGTCAGTGTTAAAAAGAAATATATTTCTGAGGGGAAATCTTCTAATTATCAGCAGGGTCGCAATCAAATTAACCTGCAACCATTTCCTGTTGTATATTTCATTGTTTCTTTTATATTTTACTCTTTATAGCTAGGTTTTTGTTGACAACAGGGACCATAATTTAGCCTAGGACTGTGTGTAGGATTCAGTATAGAAATGATTAATTTGCAAGTTTTTATAAGCAATGAATTCAAATATAACCTCTGAAGTAAAAATGAAGACTCATTAGATGTACAAAATTTACTCGGAAATATATATTAAACACTTCCTTAAGAATAACGAGGCTACAACATGTATTTCGAAATAAAATTGCATTCTAGATTCTGGATGTTAAAATTGTTTATTCAGTCATTCTACAAAAAAACATGTCCAATTAACCATTTTTATGTCGCTTACACATTTACTGCTGTAACATCATAACTACATGTATAATTTTAGAGATCAGTTTTAACTCTAAGACTTAATGTACATGCAATATTAATAAACATCAATATTTAGCGATATTTATGCAGTTTTATGGGTTTTGATATGAACATGAATTAACGTTTAAAAACGTATTCCACCTCAAATCTTCATGTCGCTTCACTCATTCACGAATTTCAAGATGAAATTTTCAGCTGTGTGAGCGTTCCGAAAAATTGTATGGAATATTAAAAGTCTTTCCCTAGAAAAACAACTCCCTTCTAGCAAAGAAATGCACGGATCTTCTGTCATAGAAATTCATAGCATATCGCCGAAAATCAATTAGTTTCGGTAAAGATTTTGTTTAAAATTGCGTACAAAAATGCAGATTTCACACAGAACTGAAACTTAGACGAGAGTGACCATGGAACCTAATATGATCGATTGTAGTTGGGAATCCGGTAATTTAGACTATTACATTTTCGATATAAGTAAATGAATTAAACAAAAACTGTTGTCTCTCTTAAAAAAATAACTTCCATAACGGTAATTCAAGACTGTTTTTTGCGTTAAAGGTATGAAAGTTTTTTATCATTATTTTGAGAGCGAAGAACTTCATTCTTTTGATTAACATCTTAAAACAAACGTTAATTATTTCTATTTTCCAAAATGTGAACTGTTAATGCTAAAAATTAACTTACCTGACGGTTATCTTCCGTAACGATTTTTCTCAAAATTAAACTTAATACCAGACCCATGCGAGACCACAAAAATCGTACTATAGCGTTCTATAGGAACAAGAGGCCCATGGGGCCACATCGCTCACCTGAGAAAAAAAAGTGTGTTCTTTCCAAACCCAACTTAATTGGCAGTTCTACTGTGACCATATATAATCAAGAGGTGGTCAAACACATGGAGAACAAGTGCCTCAATGTTTACAATTGTTGAATTTTTCCAGCTATTGGTTGGTTAGTGTCTGGAATGGGTATATTTATATATCTGGTCATCATAAATGTGAGAATCAATCATTCTCTCACATCAAATACATATTACTGAAATGCTTTAAAAATTGATCAGAGAATATTGATATGAGCATAGCAGGATATATTTAAACTTCTATACTTGTTAATAAGAAGCATCTTTGTGCCGAGGTTGATTGACTCAGATATTTAAAAAAAAACTTGACCAGGAGGTCACCTTTAAAATGTTTGTTTGCCCTGTTCCGACTTGCTCGGGATGAAATTGGGTCAGTAGGTAGGTGGGAAATGTTTTTGTCCTAAAATATTTCAACCTAAATTTTGACAGGATGAGAAAATCTATAAATAAAAAGAAAAATATTTAAGAAGGTTAAAAAAGTTTTGAGTTGGTCATTTTTAGGCAGTCTGTCAGGAGAAGGCAAACCAAACAATATTGTAAAGATGGCCCGAGGCATTTTTTTCATACCTTATAAATGAAGAAGGACAAAAATGATATATCACTAGCTTTATTGGATGCACAGAAAAAGTCAACAATGGGGTGAAAACTGAAAATCAATCTTCATGTAAGAACCTGTAGGTAAAAATTGTTTTCATAAAGTCATCTTATACGACAGTTAAACCTTAAGTTTACAAAAGTTTAGATACAGTAGTGATCACACATCCATACTGAAACAAGGGTGGGTTCCATTCTAAACTTAACTGTATTACTGTTAGGATTAGGGTCTTTCCAGTTTCAAAAGAAAAAAATAAAATCTCATAAAATGCACGTCGTCATAAAAAGTGAAATATGTTGCATGACATATTAGCTGAAAAAAGTTGGCATAGTATGGAAGAGTTCCTTAATAGTGTGCATCTAAAACAACCCATACATGACCTTTATGACTAAGAATGTTTGCAAGGTAAATGCCCCCTACACTCTCATGATAGAGATAACTCTCCCTTTCAAAAGATTCACATACAATGGAAAGGAAGAATAAAGGATTAAAATTTATCAAAAGAATGCATCAATAATAACAAATGGGGGAAAAGGGGGATTTGAATTCCGGTGGTGGTGGTTACTTTATAGATTGTTTTTTCTGAAGGGGGAGGGGGGTCATCTAAAAATCAGTGGCACTTCAATGCCCTCTTTCCGTCTTGTAGTCATTTATACTGGAATAGCCCTCAATTTTAATAAAACTAGAGAATTTTTTTTTTAAAGAAGTACAAAAGGACAAGTTGTTTGACAGGTCCATGAAACAAACTCAACACAGTCTATATGGCAACTTATGTACAATCATGTTTTTTTTTTCTTTACATGGTGGTTACTTTCAACATGACATGCTCCACTTAAAATGTTACTGCATGCATATTCTTCATTTTGTTTTTTTAAAAGATGGTGTTATGTTGGACACCAAATTAACAGCTTTGAAATAAAAGATGGTGAAGAATATATTAACCACCAATGTTCTAAATAAAAACATGAATGAATTAAAAAATATCAACTAGTCAGTAGTGATACTTAAGTAAAAAATAAAAATAAATTTCAAAAAAAAGAAAGTACAAAGTAGACAATTAAGTTGTTCGATATGTCCATACTACTAAAGTAACACATGCTCAACTACAACATAAATCTTTTCCCTAGTGTTTACCTTGGACAGCACATTGTCTAAGTAAAATCTTGAATGCCTAAAATTTATATTCTTTTTTAAGATGGTCTTTAAAATTGTCGCAATGAAATAGAAGTCCCTTAAAAAAATAGGCAAGTGGTAAACAGTGGGCTAATTAAGAAATATAATTAAAAAAGATAAATGTTTAAAAAAAAGTACATAGGGAAGAAGTTGTTTGATATATAAACACACAAACACGAACTAAAAAATGGGCAAGTTATTTGACATATTGATAATACTAACTAAAATGCAAAATCATGGCATCTCTATCTCGAACAACACTTTTGCTACGTTTCTATTGTATGTAGGGCATTGGAGTTACATAGCAATAATCTTGGAGACCACATTGTCCCCTTTTGCGTATTCGACTTTTATCTTTGGAAGCATTAGCAAGAAGTTTTCCAGTTGATCTGGATCATGTTTAAGTTCTTCTTTTTGCAAGGATATGAGGAAATTCATAAGGGTGGAGTTGTAGGCATTCAATTTTATGGTGTCCACAGACGTTTTCACCTGGAATGTGGATGTTAGCGAAGTGTTCACCGATGAAACCTTTACTTTCATATTGCATCCTGAGCATTTAAGGAACTGAGACTTTGTTTCCGTGTTCTGCATCTTCCTATTACAGGACAGGCAGTGGGTGGTTT